AAATTAAAAAAACACAACTGAGACGTTTTAAAATGCTGTAATAATTAAAATTGATCAAAGTTCCGGTTATAGCAAACCGTAAAAAATATTAGATGTTATGTTTTATTATGTTTTTTCAATATTTTCTATATCTTGTTGTCTTTTACGCAGACACGCCAATTGATTTTCGTTCCCGGCACGCTTCATCCCCCTTACTAGTCCAAGAGCTAGCGATGAATCACTATCTATAATTTTGGCCGTCGAGTATAGTTGAAATAAAAAACAATTTGGGATGCTAGCTGCTTGACTTTGGCGCACTATGCCTGGTTTTTCTCGAAAACGGGCAAATTTTAGCACCTCTTACAAGAGCACCTTTTTTGTCATAATAGCAAGTGACAAAAGGGGCAAAAAGATTAACCTCAAAGAAGTTAGGACCTAAAATGTTCCCGCGGAGTACTGCACCAAACGCCTTGTATGGTATAGCCAAAAATTAATAACTCCAGAGCATTTATCATTCCCATAAACCCCACATAACAAAATTTCAGTTCAATCGGACGAATTTTGTGGAAGATAGGACCGAAACTAGATACTAAAAAATTATTTTCAGCGCCCTGTATCTTGAAAACGGAAAAAGATACGCCCATGGTTCCTAGGAACAAATTGTAATATTTTTTGAAATTTTATCAGGCCCTGAATCTATGCTAGTGTTTTTTAGAACAACCTGTATGTATATTATTTTCACGCTTATACTTTATTTTTCTATATCATCACTTTCTTTATTGCACTACTTGGTTACAAAGTCAACTATCTTATCTTTTGCTTGGAATGCATTTATTTTATTATAGGTATATGGTATATAACTTTTCATATCTTACTCAGTGTAGATTTTCAACTTGTGAACTTGGTTTGCGTATGAATAAAAACATAATCTCTGAATTAAATCTTATTATTTCAATCCCCGTTCGGCAACAACATAATTAATTTGAGGTAAATACATCCAAATATCCAGGGTGAATATGAGTACATAACAGGTAAATACATCCAAATCTTTGAGGTAAATACCTACATCCAAATATCTTTTTTATCTTTACTCTCTACAACAGAAAATGAATAGTTGATATTTATAGAACGTGATTGGCTCAAATGTATTATCAAATATGAATTAATGCTCTGTAACTAGGAAAGACTAGGTAAATGTTTTTTGAACGAAATTTTCTTAAAGTAAGTTCCGTCACATCCAGTGATTCTATTAAAATTAAAACGCTGTATAGATGTTTCAAAAGTTTATATGCACCTCTTTGAATTAAAGTGGTTATAGAATATTTTGTAAGAACATAATTGTAGAAGGCCAGAAAAGTCTCGAATACTTACAGCCTACCTATAGACCAAGCAAATTAAATTTTTACTCGAAAAAGTCCTATCCGCTAGATTATTGTAAAATTGTCTAAAGGAACATAATACAAGACATCTCTCATCTCGCGAGTCAAAAAATTTTATTGGACAACTTTTCTATTTAAACAAATAAGTGAGGAAAACAATTTTTTCACTTTGCAGGAAACCATCAATTTTAGCGAAAACTGACTCTCAGGCAGCTTATAGGGAGTAAAATTATCTACAAAATGAGACTTGTTAAATTAAAATCGGTTAATAAACAAAATAGTTATTGCAAAAAAAAACAAGAAAAGTGCCCATTTTTTCATTTGTTTATAACTATCGCATTTATTGTTAAAATTTTATAAAACCTATGACAAGTTGAGGGTTTTGTCATACTTTAAAAGTGTGTCAAAAGAGGGCGCTGTAGGTGCAATAGTTTTCGCACAATTCTATTTGTTTATAACGGAGGCTCCAAAAGTTATGAACTTTAGGCCTCTGTACAGGCGTTAATTTTCAATCAA